TTGCGATGAAATGACTCTCTTTAGGACCCAGCAGCTTGGCAGAGAGAAGGGGGGGGAATCCTTTTAAAACTCAAGCCTCTAAGAAAATGCAACAGGGGGAGCGTTGCTTGTACAATCCCACACACATTGGTCAGATTGCAGCAGTTTGCTCCTGTTGGATTTTCTTAGAGGCTTGTGTTTTAAAAGGATTATTTTTTCCCTGTTCTCTCTGCCAAGCAAAGCTGCAACTAAGAAAAGGTGGTGAGCACTTTAATTCTTGCTGATTAGAGGAGTCCCGAGTAGTTTGCATTTTGCAAGGAGCAGCCGAGAAAACCCTTTCTGAAGTTTTTTTTCCTTTGCGTGCTCTGGAGCTCCGAGGGAAGAAAGGAGGAGCTGCAGCTGACTAAGAAAGTGAGCTGATTGTTTTCAACTCCTCGCTCCCAGCTTGATGGAGGATATTGTGTAGCAGATAGCTGCATGAACGAACGACATACGACCATATAGTGCATAGCACGCTTTATTGGATACACAACAAAGGAAGGAAGAAAATGGCCGGCCAACTATATACATTACCAGGGGACCACCCCTGGGTCCCATTGGCGGGTTATACTATCCCGCCTTGGTCCCATTGGTTTCCCCCAGTGGCGAGACTAGTACCCTAGTCCCATTGTTGTCCTGGGCTGAAGCTTGGCGTGTGCACTGACCTCTGGTGGCGGTCAGTGGACACAACATCCCTCCCCCCATAGTCCGGAACTATGTCCCCTATGAGACATAGTCTTTAAGGTACAATGGGGACCGTCGTAGCCTCACGGATCGTCTGGGGGCCTGCTCTGGGGCCCCCTGGGTCTCGACCTCTGGGGCGGGAGCCAGAGGTGGTGCTGGAGCCTCTGCGGCCGCTGTCTTGGTTTCCGGGGGCCCGTCTGCAGCGGCCGGGCGCTGGCTGTCCCGAGGCGTGTCTTCTGGTGCGGCCAAGATTCCCTCGGGGGTCCCGACCGGTCCCTCCTCTTGCACCGTCTGCTTCCCCGGAGCTCCCGCTGACTCATGTTCGGGAAGCATCCGTTGCCTGAGCTGATCGATGTGCCTCCGGAGGACCTGGCCGCACTCCGTGGACACCTCGTACATGACGGTGCCCGTTGGTCTGATGATGCGGTGGGGTTCCGCTGGCTTGGGGCCCGATCGGGGTGTAGGCGGTCCAGCAGGATCGTTGGCCTCCGGCCCATCAACAGCTCGGCTGGGCATCGGCCGCTCACCGGGTTGGGCGTTGTCCGTTGCGCTAGGAGGAACTTGGCGATGCGGAACTCCCAATCTCCTTCAGATAGGCGGCTGAGGGCCTCCTTCGCAGTCCGGACCATGCGCTCCGCTTGGCCGTTGGTTGCCAGGTGGAAGGGTGCTGTCCTGATGTGCTGGATCAGGTTGCCGTTGAGGAATTGCTGGAACTCCTCGGACGTGAAGGCCGTGCCGTTGTCTGAGACGATGGTGTCCGGCAGGCCGTGGGTGGCGAAGATCTTCCGGAGGGCGCGGATGGTCGCCTTGGTCGACGTAGCGGAGACGGGGCTGATTTC